GTTATCATGTCAAAATTATAATCTCTATTATTATATCGGTAATAAGAAAGAAGCAATTTCTCTCATATTACATAGCAGCATCCGAATTTTTATATCAACTAAGCATTACAACTCATTGGGGTGGGAGTTGAGTGGTGTAGCATTATTGAATTGCAACTTTAATTAGATTAAGATAGCAATTGAGAAGATTAGAGAGCTAGTTAGTGAAAGACAAGGAGTGTTAGGAAAGGTGTAAAGAAAATATGAAAATCAATGAAGATATGTGGAGTGAGATGGAGAGAAATCCAGTAGGAAGGGAGTTCTATAAGTTAGTTAGGTATAGGGAAACTAAGTCTGGAGTAAGTAATAAGGAAATATTGCAGCTCATAGTCAAATGCAAGCTACAATAAAGACTTGGTAACATTATTTTATATTGGTTGTTGTATATTACTTTTACCAAATTGGTTAAAGTTGTATCTTAGCTAGTCCAAATTATTGAAGCAGTAGTCAACTTTTTTGGTTAAATAATTTTCACTCAATTCTTCTTGCCTCTAGAACCCATTATCAACAATGAACCATAATTATTTAAAAAACCATTTGTTATTTTTGTATTAATAATAGTGCTGATTTCCTCAAGTTCTGATCCTTAGCTTATAATTCTTAGATAAATGGTTATGTTGAAGAGACAAACAAAATAATAAACAAATTATTAAAATTAAAAATATCAAATAAGGCAGAAAATTAGGCTGTCATTCAACCTTCAGTACTGTGGGCTCACCAAACCAATTTTTTCATTTGCAATAAAAGAAATTCCTTCAAATTTGGATCTCTCTCCATTGGCTATGAGCCAAAAGATCTTATAAAGATATTTTATCTCATAATCTATCTCTAGACTTGACATCCACTCTCTATGTCTACCGAGTAGGTGTTTATGTGGACTTAAATTAACTAATATTTGCACGCAGTTCATTTCGGTTTATTGGAGGAGATTACCACAAATCACTTTGTAACTTATGAAAAGTTCAAGCTCAAGAAATTTGATGTTGGTGATCTCAAGTTCGTGAATATATGTAATAATGAAATTTTTTAATTTTGAAAATTTTCATTCACCCATCGAATCAAATGTCTCAAATTAGTATCATAGTTGTCACTAGTAGGGCCCAAAACACATCAACTTAGACAAATCCTGATCCATATAAAGGCGAAGGTAGAGTCATTTATAATCCCAACTAGATACTATATCCTTTTAAACTTGCTTTATCCATTAATTTCTAGAATTTAAAATCCTTGGACATGTAATATATAGTTGTCTATCAGCTCTAGCTCAACTGTCACAATGCAGGTTAAGAGAGAGTTCAAAGACTGTCAACCATTATTGTCAGCGATTATTACACTCTAACATGCACCATCAATAACTGAGATAACAACCCAAGAACACTATAGGAATTAAGTAAATTTGTGTCAGTTATATCAAACATAAATCAAAGGTAAATCCGACTATATTTATGGGTTATCGTTATCGTCAAATTTGTGACCGATTTTTTTGTCTTTAAATCGGGCATCAGTGATGTTAATTCCGTCAATTTTTTGCTGAAATATTATGACACAAATAATTTGCGTCATTTTTTACGTCGTATTAGCATCAAAATTATTTATTTGGATGAACAAATAAGGATTTTATGACCAATTGACGATGTTACAATCACCAACTATGCCCTATAAGGTAAACCACTATTGCAGTCACCAACTTATGCTATTGCAGTCACCAACTATAGACGGTGTGAACAATTAACAATATTGCATTAACCAACAATAACCTCTGTGACCAATAGATGATAATTCAACTTTCATTTAACCATAAGCTTTGTAACCAACTAGTGCATCTGCAACAACCAACTATGACTTTTGTAGCTGATTACTACTGTTACAACTTTAAAATACCACCTATGTGGCAAAATAATGCTATTACAATTACCAATTACGACCTATGTGATAAACATACAACATTGTAGTAACCAAACCAAATACGACCTCTATGACCAACTGATGATATTGTAGCTTTCAACCATGGCCTTTTGTGACAAACTACTACATGAACGTGCAACAACGAACTAAGGTCTTTGTAGGAGACTACTACTTTTACAGCTTCCAACATCAACCTCTGTGGTCAATTGTCACTATTGTAACCATTAACTACGGTCTCTATTATCAATTACATTTGTTGTAGCCCATTTATGGAAAGTATAGTCGAACTACTATTGTACATATCAATTTATCAATAGTGCAATTCCATCTTCTCCAATTCAAAGAAAGAGTGGTGCGCTTTTGAATTTGAATATTTAACCTTCTTTAATTGTGAAGGACTTGGTTAAACTTTTGTTCTACGAGAGAGATGTATCCATGAGACCTTTATGGGAAATGATGTTCGAATTGGTGAAGCCTAAGAGGTTCCATGCGATGAGTATGGCAGAAATGAGGAATGGGAGAAAGGGGTTGACAATTCAGATATTCATCCTTGATTGTTGAAAATCTTCTTATTAACCTTCCACCACTTAAATCCAACAAATTTTTCTAGAATTATTTTACCAGAAAAATGTATGAGAGAACAAGCAAAAATTGCTATCAATCTTGACAAGTTTTTACCAACAAATCTCTCAATTCGAGAGCATTATCTTGTAATATTAGTTTAAAACTTATGAAGTCCTAATATCCTCACTGGCTTTTACTCTTATATTGTTTTTTTCTACAGTTTCCACATCTCTTTTATTCTTATTTATGAACTCATCTCTTCCATCTCAACTACTGTTGATTTAGGAAATATCTGGACTTCATACTCGCTTTCTCTCCTTCTCTATATTTATAATTATGAAGATGTATCTTTGCATCTACATGTTACTTTTGTCTGCAACATGAGTAGCTACACTAAGAGAAGAAGATGCTCCAAATTCTTTTCATTGATTATCTATAAAAGTGCGTACTTAAGAAGAATTCTTATCATTGTCCAAATTCTGTCTGAAGAAGAACTCTTATTATTGTTTGTGTATACAGCTTTTCTTATTGGATATCATTATATGACCATAATATAATGATAAAACAATAATTGCATAAGTAAAAGAATTTGAGCAGAAAGAAAGTAAACAAAAAAATGAGAAATTTATTGAAAAATCTATTTATGTTTATATTTACACAAAAAATATCAAATTAAATTTGATTAGTCTATTTAAATCATCTTAAATCAAAATGAACCAATCAAAACATAGTTCAAATCATCAAAATCAATTCCTCAAGATCTAAATTGCTGAATAAATAATCAAACCTATATTGAATCAAATCTATTGGTTCCGTTTTTAGGGGTGATGGTTTGGCTTATAAACACTTGTATTAAGGAGGCTAGGGATATATTTTACTCATTTATTTCAAGTTGAGTGCTTTATCTGAAATAGTATGTATGTGTGATTCGTTATGCTATATGTGACCGAGTTCCTTTAATTTGGAAGAATATATTCCTAACCTTCTTGATATTTTTTATTTATGTAAGGAAAAAAATATCCCTACTATTATCTTTCTTCTCCCTTTCAAATTCATGGCTACTTTCATTGTCCAAGGTGCTTTGGTGGACCAAATTTAGCCGAAATAGTCTATTTTAGGTCTTGACTATGATGAAAATTATCCATGTAAATATGGGAGTAGTCACACATTGTAATAGTTATATATATATATATATATATATATAAGCAATATTTCAATATATAGACTGCATTTATTTTGCTTCCGAGCAAACACTAGTAATTTAAAAATTACTTTTTACAGTGCACTCTTCATTCCACAAGCCAAACAACCCTCAGTAAAAAAGAGATGGTGCATGATTCCTTCATAATGAGCTAATTGAGTCGAGAACAGATCATCCTGAGTTAAATGGTGGTCTATTCTGTCACTTAATTTATTTTGACTAATGCGTTCCCACTTTTTCCGTAACACTACCGGAGAGCTAAACTTTGTAGAGAGAAAAAAAAAATCAAGAGAAAGTTAATATTTTCTTTTGATTTGGTGGGCGAGATTGAAAAAGAAGAACTTTGCAAATAAAATTGATGTAAATAAATTTTTAATAAGTCTCCAATTATTTTCGCATTTTCCAATTTCTTTAGTCTAAATATATATTAATCACATAATATTGTATAAATTAATTTTAATTTATTTAGTCTAAATATATATTTAATTTTTCAAACCTTAATTGTGTTAGTTAAAATAGTTAGTAAGTTGATAATAATCATAAAGTTAAACTTTTTAATTAAAATTTGATTATTATTATTATTAGTGTTTGCTTGTTTATTTTACTTGTCAGCTTAAGTCCCACTGATGGGACTGTGAGTTGATTTTATGCCGAATATTGATGCACAGTGAGTTGAATTTAAAAGGTGAAGCTAATCATACTCACACAGTTTTAGCCTTATTTGATCATCCCAACCAGTTGCATCCAAAGACTGTACTTCCACAACTCTTCCCTTCCCCCATGCTTTTACTAGCCCTAGCCCACAGACAAATGATAAGGCAAAACTCTCTCTGCAGGTACACTTCACAGCGACCTTAATTAACAAGTTAAAAAATATTTCTAATAAAGTTAAAATGACTCAAAATTGAATCCACTCTGACATACACCATCCTCTCATTTTTCTCTTCTAACAAAACAAAGCTCAATTTGCTTTTAATTAAAGCATCATCAAAACAAAAATTGATTGTTGCCTCTACAAAAAAAAGGCTAGGTAAATATAATCTATATTTTCACTCTGAATTATTTCACAATTATATCTATTGAATTTATTTAGTAAAATACATACACATACATGCATACATATTTATGCATAGATACATATGTCACTGGGTCAAACAACTAAAACAATATGAAACAATGTAAAAATTAGAACAGAAAAAAGTGCTGAAAAACTAAACTCTCAAGAAAAAAATTCTAAAAACTTGCAGAGAAACATAGAAACATGAATTAATTGCGTGAAAGCAAGATACAAACCAATCATAAAATTCAGCACCTCATAATCTCGTCAACTGAAATATCAAAAAATTAACCCTAAACAAATCAAAACCAATCATGTATTTATCAAAAAGATCATCATTGCTTCATTATCATCAAGATTCCTTTTTTTTTTTTTTTCTTAACTTCAATACATTGATCATGGATCAAAGCATGCACGGCTAAATACGCAGTTTCTTCCTCGAAACAAGCAAGAAATGAGAGACGAGCAAACACAACTAGTACCCAACAGATATTCAATGAAACGCAGACAGTACTGGAATCATAGCTCCACTACCATGCTCCTCTTCATCACACACCATCTGATCGCCGCCGCCGCCTACGACTTCACCACCGCCGCCACCACCGCCGGGAATCATCAAAATGCTCTCATACTGATGATGTTGACCAGAATCAAAGTCAAGCGACGTCACCACGGCCTGCTGCGACGAAACCGCTCTCTTCCTTTTCTTCTTATCGTAAGCAACTCCGCGAGCTTTAGCCTGCGAGTCCCGAAGGTCGCGGAGGTAGAGCCGGACGGCACGTGCGGCGAACGGGTTTGCTTCAGGTCGGCCGCCGTTTTCTTCAAAGGCGGCTCTGAGGCGGCCGACGAGGGCGTCGAGGCTGCCCCAAGCTTGTCGGAGCGGGCAGGAGCAGGGGCCGGGGGGGCAGGGCTGCCCGAAAAAGGGGCAGGATGGGGAGTGGACTTTGGTCTTCCCGAACTGATCCAAGTATCTTAGGAATTCAAGAACGTGCGCGCCGCTGCAGCGCGAGAGCTCGAGCGGCGGGCGGTGGTTTCGGAGATATTGACCGAAGGTGTTCCAATCGCGGCGCTTCTGCGACTCGTATCTGCTCGGTCTAACC